CCCCCCCCCCCCCCCCCCCAAAATTGATTTCCCATCTTTATAAAAGATATTGTATTTATGTAGCACCTTTTACAACCTCAGTATCCCAAAGTGCCTGTTGCTGTGTAAACTACTGCTTAATTTTAAAAAATCTTGATACACTCATTGTTCAGCTGGGACAGTTTAAAGATAATGAAATGACCAACAAGAGTAGTTTCTTTTGTGGTAGACTTCTAATGTGACCTTATCTCACTTTCGAGAGGAGTCAGTGTTTCCAAACAAAGTCCTGTGTTCAGCCATGCATTTATCTAAACTAGCAGTAGAACTTGCTAGCCCTTGCTAACCCTTTGCTGGCTTCAAAGAGTTTTAAAAATGATAATTTTCATTTTTTCATCTGTGTGATGTCATTATGTGATCTGGCTGATCTGGTACCACAATCTTTGAAGATTTAAAATCTGTTCAACTCGCTGATCCAAGAGAATGTTTGTTTGGTTTCTGTATTACAGCAACTTCCTTCATCATATTACATGTAATCCATGTCAGAATTTAAAAGTTGATGCTGTATAAATGTCTAATTCTTTGAGGAAAATACCATGATTTAACTTTTTTGTTTTGTACAAAACAAAATCAATGCATTGCTTTGCAAAAGACTCCAAACTGGAATTTGGAAGAAGTGGCGGTGGATAGTTAAAGGTGGCAAGAAGTGTAACTTATTATTTCAGCTGCAGATAAATCAAAAATAAAATTAAGTTTTTTTTTATGAAAGTCAAGATGAATCCTTTTACATAGGGCTGACTTCAAATAGTATTGAGATTTCATTTGCATGAACTCTGTGCCATTTAATTGCTATATATTTGCAGAACTGCATCTGAGCTGCATGAAACTGCAATACAATTTTTTTATGATACATCTTCTACTGTGACTTGTCTGAAATATAATTTGACTTATTTGGAAGCATTCATTTAATTTGGTTTTTATTTTATTTGCCTTTTGTTTTGTCACATGGGAGGTGGGTTGAGTTCAACAGTTGTTAAATTATTTTTTGAATCAAAACTACTTTACAGAAAAATGAAGTTTTGGTTAGACCACAGAAACAATAGCTTTGAAATGCTCGTTGAGTTATTGTGGTAACTGCTGGCATAGTTAACAATGGTGTAGCAATAATAGTGTTGGCTCTTTTGGTCTTAAGATTTGTTTTCTAAAATTCTGACTAATGAATTTTTTAAAAACTTTTTGTTTGTCTTTCTCCCTGGGATCTGAGCATTGCTCGGTCCATTCCCTAATTGTCCCTGAGAAAGTGATAGTGAATCAGCTCTAATGGCTGCAGCGATCTGGGAGTTTCAGAATTTTGACCCAATGACAATTAATGTCCATTGTGTAGGTCCGAGTCAGGACAGTATGACTTCAAGATAAACCTACAAATGGAAGTTTTCCCATCTTCCTGGTTTCACTCTTCCAGTTGTTTTAAATATTTCTGACTAGGTGTTGGCTAATGTTCACATTAATATACAAGTCATAAGCTATTATTATTTATTTTCCATTTTTATTGATGCTTAAACAATATTGAGTAGCTGTCAGGTTGAATGCATGAATGGAATAATGCCTGCTTGCAATCATTTCAACATGTGGGACTGAAGAAGTGTTTTATTTTATGAAATGTTACTTTATCTAGAAATGGTCAGTAGCAGATGTTAAAACCCACAATTTTTTTTAGCATAATTTGTATTTCTTCAATCGTATTTCAGTTATGTTCTTTGTCAGAATGAACAGTCTATTTTTTTTGAAAAAAATACTTCTAGGGGTGGTATCCTGTAGAGGCCTGAACAATAGAACGTAGAACAGTACAGGCCCTTCGGCCCATGATGTTGTGCCGAACTTTTCCCCTAAACCTAAGGTCTATCTAACTTCCACCCCATCTAATTGCCACTTAAATGCCCCTAATGAGGCCAACTCCACTACCCTCTCCAGCAATGCATTCCACGCTCCGACCACTCGGAGTAAAGAACCTACCTTTGACGTCTCCCCTATATCTACCTCCACTCACTTAAACTATGCCCCCTCATAATAGCTACCTCCACCCTAGGGAAAAAGTCTTTGGCTGTCCACTCTATCAAGTCACCTCTCCTCTTTCGTCATTCTAAAGAGCAAAGCCCTAGCGCTCTCAACCTTTCCTCATAAGACCTTCCCTCCATTCCAGGCAATGTCCTGGTAAATCTCTTCTGCACGTTTTCCAACGTTTCCACGTCTTTCCTGTAATGAGGTGACCAGAACTGGACACAGTACTCCAGATATGGCCGAACCAGGCTTTTGTGTAGCTGGAGCATAACTTCACGGCTCCTGAACTCAATCCGTCTATTAATGAAAGCTAACATACCATACATCATCTTAACAACTCTATCCACCTGGGTGGCAGCTTTCAGGGAACTGTGGACATGAACCCCAAGATCCCTCTGTTCCTCCACACTGCCAAGAATCTTTCTGTTAACTCTGTATTCTGCTTTCAAATTTGTCCTTCCAAAATGAATCGCCTCACACTTTTCAGGGTTAAAGTTCATCTGCCACTTCTCAGCCTGGCTCTGCATTCTGTCAATGTCCCTTTGTAACCTAGTACAGCCCTCCACACTATCCACAACTCGACCCACCTTTGTATCGTCCGCGAACTTACTAATCCACCCTTCCACTCCTTCATTTAAATCTTTACGCGGAGGGTGGTGGGTGCCTGGAACGTGTTGCCAGTGGAGGTGGTAGAGGCAGTCACGATAGTGTCATTTAAGATGTATCTAGACAGATACATGAATGGGCAGGGAGCAGAGGGATACAGATCTTTGGAAAATAGGTGACAGGTTTAGATAGAGGATCTGAATCGGTGCAGGCTTGGAGGGTCGAAGGGGCTGTTCCTGTGCTGTAATTTTCTTTGATTTTTGTAAATAACAAAGAACACAAATAGAAGAGGACGCAGAACAGAGCCTTGTGGTACACCACTCGTAACTGAACACCATGTTGAATATTTTCCGTCCATTACCACCCTTTGTCTTTTAAGGGTCAGCCAATTCTGAATCCAACCTGCCACATTTCCCCCTATCCCATGCCTCCTTATTTGTCTGCATGAGCGTCCTGTGGGGAACCTTATCAAATGCCTTACTTAAATCCATGTATACCACATCGACTGCTTTACCTTCATCCACACGTTTGGTCACCTCTTCAAAGAATTCAATAAGGTTTGTGAGGCATGATCTACCCCTCACAAATCCATGCTGACTATCACAAATCAAACTGTGCCTATCCAAGTGATCATAAATCCTATTTCTCAGAGCCCTTTCCAATAATTTGCCCACCACTGACGTAAGACTAACTGGCCTGTAATTTCCAGGGTTATCCCTATTCCCTTTTTTGAACAAGGGAATGACGTTTGCCACTCTCCAATCTTCCGCCACTATACCTGTGTACAGTGAGGATGAAAAGATCATCGCCAAAGGCCCTGCAATCTCTTCCCTCGGTTCCCATAGAATCCTTGGATAAATCCCATCAGGCCGGGGGACTTGTCTATATTTAAGTTCCTCAGAATTCCTAGTACATCTTCCTTATGAACATCGACCTCCTCCAGCCTGTTTCACACTGTCCTCCTTTACAACTAGGTCCCTCTCAGTTGTGAATACCGAAGAAAAGTATTCATTAAGCACCGCTCCTATCTCTTTAGGCTCTGTACACAAATTCCCTTTACAATCCTTGATTGGCCCTACCCTTTGGTCATTCTCTTATTCCTCACGTACGTGTAAAAAGCCTTGGAGTTTTCCTTGATCCTATCTACCAAGATTTTCTCCTGCCTCCTTATAGCTCTTCTAAGCCCTTTCTTTAGCTCCTTCCTAGCTAACTTGTATCCCTCCAGAGCCTTTTCTGTTCCTTGTTTGCTAAACCTTATATAAGCACCCTTCTTCTTAACTAGTCATTTGATCTTTCTTGAGAACCAAGGCTCCCTCACTCAACCGCATCTTCCCTGCCTGCTAGGGACAAACATATCGAGCACACACAGTATGCATTCCTTAAACAATCTCCACATTTCAATAGTGCTCTTCCCTGACAGCTGACAGCATCTGTTCCCATTTTATGTTACCCAGTTCTTGCCTAACAGAATTGTAATTACCCTTCCCTTAATTATAAACCTTACCCTGTTGTATGTACCTATCTTTTTCCATGATTATTGTAAAAGTAACAGAATTATGATCGCTACCGCCAAAATGCTGTCCTACCAACAGGTCTAACACTTGGCCTGGTTCATTGCCAAGCACCAAATCCACAGTGGCCTCTCCTCGTGTTGGTCTATCTATGTACAGTGTCAGGAATCCTTCCTGTACTGGACAAAATCCGCTCCATCTAAACTGTTACAACTAAAAAGTTTCCAATCAATATTTGGAAAGTTGAAGTCACCCATGACTACAACCCTGTGACTTCTGCACCTTTCCAGTATCTGCCTCCCAATCCG